CTATGTGAGTCAGTCCGTTTATCAGACTTCCGTTGCATCTATACTCATCCTACATTGGTTGATTCTTGGTTCTGCCCATACTCATTGGAGTATGCAACAGTAAGCTAGTAAACATCAGAAAGATGGGTATCAGCATAGAAGCATGTATTGATGTACCAAATGGGCTAATACTAGAAGGTTGATGCAAAGTGTTCCACCAATTTACAGAGAATTTCGTTATTGGTATATTTATGAGACCTATACAAACAAAAAGAGAAGCTACATCTGCAGAAAGGAATAGAAACGTAGTGCACCTAAATATATGATTAGCAGTATTAATACGTAAGTGTTTCGAGCATCCCAAACCCAAAAGGTTCCCCACACACGGAATACCTAGCACGGCATGAGGACCTCATCTCCACTCCTCCTGCTACTCTTTCTCCCTTCGCTTCCTCCTCAAGTTGGCCCTCAATTGCAGTTAAACGACTGGGCAAGAGCAGTCAGGCTCGTATGTCCTGGATCATCATACTTCCTCCCCCCCCCCCATTCTTAACGCCACATCATTTCATGAAAGCTATCGCCAATCTTGCCACCAAGCGGGAAACTGCACATCAGCTACCAGCGGGAGCTGGGGGGCAGGAGCGGTTGCAGGTGGATAGAGGAAGTTCGACAACTGCTTCAAAAACAGAGTTCGGAGTACGGGTGGTGACTGCCGAGCCCACGCACAAATCTTGAGGTAGCAACCGCCTGATGACTTAACCACTGAGGTAGCCTGGATCTCCGCATACATCGAGATCTGTGCACGGGTGCCCAAAACCGGATAGGGAGCCAAAACCGGATAGGGAGCCAGTTTACGTCAGGGAACTCATCAGTCAGCTGAGACATCGAGATCTGTGCACGGGTGCAAACCCCAGCTCGGACCATCATGTCATTGCTATCTCAACTTGGACTTCACTGATATATATATATCGCCACAAACAGAACTGCCCGGTAAACCGTAGGCAGAGAGAGAGAAGAGGACAACAAATGAGGGGCTGTGACATATATATCGTCACAAACAGAACTGCCCGGTAAACCGTAGGCATATATATATATATCGTCACAAACAGAATATATATATATATATATCGTCACAAATAGAACTGCCCGGTAAACCGTAGGCAGAGAGAGAGAAGAGGACAACAAACGAGGGGCTTCGTCGGAGTTTCACCGACTCATCAGGAGGCTGAACCCTC